AGGCTGTCACCTATATGGTGCTGTAATGAAAAGTGCTCTAAATGTTTACAATTGTTTACAGTAAGATCATTTGAATTTCCCATTTATTAAAACATTTTGTGGTAATTTGCATGCCTAAGTTTTTAATAACTGTTTATTGTTTTAAGAGCTGCTTTTCATCAGTTTGCAAAAATGAATTCACTGGTGACTTTTCTTTTCCTGATTAATTATCTTCATTTTTATGCTGCCCTTTAATTATTGTTCATAGAGAGAGTATGCATGCTAGATGCTTCTTAGTAAGTTTAAGAATATTGATACACAATTTTTAAAAGTAAAAAATTACTTCCTATAAACTACTGAAAAATTTAATAAATATTTTTGCTGTGTTCAAAAATCATAGTTCCAAAAAAATTTTTTTTTCTCTTAGTTTTAGAATTTAACTATTTTTTATTTATTTCCCCCTTAATTTTGAAATCATTTATATTATATAATTGAGGTCTTGGTAGACATTTCTATGCAATAACCTGATTGAAAAAGATATATTCAGTAATATTTTCAAAACAGTACTATGTAAAATATTTTTCCTTCATGTAAATTAGAAAAATTGATTAAATTTTTTAAATTATTTTTCTTATTTGTAAATTATAGCATTTGTGATTAAGAATGAAATGCATACTATTATACAGGTACTCTTGAGTCATTGTTTATGACAACTGCAATTAAAACTACATTCATGTTAAAAAATTACTTTAGTACATGCATATTATCCTTTCAATCATGAAACTGTAGCCAAATGGCTCAACTGAGTGCCAGTTATGAATACAAATGATGTCAAAACACACTGATAACATCTGAGCTTTCATTTGATGCCATCCTGACTGATTCTCAACAAGTCACCTTTTGTTTTTATGAACAAAGTGGCTTATCTCTTAAAATTAAGAAATTTTTAGTTTATTTTTATTTTTACTTTCCACTTTAAAAAAATTATTAAAATTTGGGACCTGCCTTCTACAGAATAGCAAGCAGTGGATTATTTTCAGTATTATAAAGCCTGCCATTGAAAATATGTATATTAATAGACATGATGTGGTATCTTATTTGAAAACAGATAAACAGTGGTCATGAAACATGAAAAACTGTGACAAGATAATATTCATTTCAAAAGGAATGTGGTTCAAGGGCTGTAGAATCACATTTATGAATACACTGTGTTTCATTTACAACAATCCGTTACAAATTATTTAATTTCTTCTAGAATACTTTGATTTTGAGATTTCAAACAACTGTTGACCATAAATTTCCAAATGTGGGAATTTAAAAAATGTACAGTATATCCAACATTGATTTTCAAATTATGTTCTCTTTTCAAGCAATTGCTTCATATGCTAAAAGTGAAATGAGGTCAATTTCTCTGTAAGCTGCAGAACTCACAATCCCAGGAAAAGAAAAGAAAACGAACAGAGATTCTTTCACATCCTTTCGGAACATTTTTTTTCCTCAGCTTCTGCATTCTGCATATATCTCCTATATTGTACTACATGTAAGCTGTTGAAATCCTTTTGAAAGTTTCTCAGTGTCAGTTCTGCATTTTCCCTTTATAGCTGAATAGAGAAATAGAAAATACTGAATATACCCTTTATAGAGAATTAACATTTCTTGAATGTGAAAAAGAACAGCTGGATGGCTGTCAAAACAAAATTACAAAAAAATTAGGAGAAACAGAAAGATTAAAGGATTTATGTAAGATAAGTTGTACTTACAGTATAATAAACAGAGCTCTGGTAAAATTGGTAAGTCTAAGAAAATAGTAAAAATCGGCGGAAGCATTGTTACAAAGCACAAAAAATAAAGCAGGTCAAATAGTTCTATAGTTATTGCTGTTTGGTGGATTGTGCAGAAAGACTGACAGAAGTTTTACTATTTAAGAGTTACAGATAAAAATTCAGAACAGTATTTCATAGAAATGATTCGTGCAGCAGTTGTGGGATATCTGCTAACTTTAATGGTTTGACGGTAGGCAACTTTCATGATCAATGGAATTATATGCAGTAAGGGCCATTACTTTTCATTTCAGTTCCTATGCAACGTAATTTTTATTAATTAAATAATATAAGCATAACTCTAATTTAAAAACATAACTTCAAAATAAATTAAATTTGATTTTTTTCATATGCCATTACTTTAAGTAAAAAAATAAAATCCATTTTTTAAATGAATGTACTGCTTTGTTATTTGGACTAGTTGCTTCTGTATTGCATTTATTTTTATTATTATGTTTTAGCAACTGTATAGTTAAGATGGGCATGGTGATACCCACATTATTTTTTAAATAGAAAATACTGAATAGTATATTCTTTTGAACTTCATAAAATTTTTAATATTAATCGAATTAATGACAATTGTGCATAGCACAAAAGTTATTTTATAATAGTGAGGAATTCTTTGAAGTTAAGAAAAAGTCCTTTATTAAAATCTGAACTAATGATGATTCTTATTTTCTCTTGGAAGTTCTTTGCAGCACACAAAAGTACTTTGTGTACCTTTTCTAGTTCTTGTATTTGCTTCTCATGTAAATCACTATTTTCAAAAGTGTTCTTTCTAATATTCCTGATATTTAATTCTTCATTTAATTTTGAAGCCATCATAATTTAAACTTGTTGCCAAATTATTTAATTTCTTCTAGAATGCTTTGATTTTGAGATTTCAAAAAATTGTTCACCATAAATTTCCAAATGTGGGAATTGTGGAATGTGGAGTATATCCAACATTGATTTCCAAATTATGTTCTCTTTTCAAGCAATAGCTTCATATGCTGAAAGTGAAATGGGATCACTTCCTCTGTAAACTGCAGAACTCACAATCCCAGGAAAAAGAACTAAAATGAGCAGAGATTCTTTCACATCCTTTCGTAACAACTTTTACTCAGCTTCTGCATTCTACATATATCCCTTATATTGTACTACATGTAAGCTGTTGAAATCCTTTTGAAAGTTTTTCAGTGTCAGTTCTGCATTTTCCTTTTATAGCTGGATTTCAACAGGAATGATATGAAGCCTGATATGCTTTCAGTGTTTTGTTTGATCCATTTGATGATGGTATTTAATGGCAAAAGAACAGTTTTCTCTCTTAGATCAGAAACCGAAATTCAAAACGCTCTGCCAAAAATATAATCAGTGATTAAGAAAGTAAATTTTGAAACAGATAATAATGCTTTTAAAATAAAATTATAGATAACTGAGCTTCATACTCTGAAGTAGTCATAAAAATTTGCAAAAATTCCTTTCAGAGATGGACTAGTTGCTTCTGTATTACATTTATTTTTATTATTTTCATAGTCAGAAGATTACAATTTTTTCTTAAATTTCTGGAAATAATGTGTCAAAAATATACAACAAAATTTGAAATTATTATAAATTTCTAATTCTTATATTTTTACAATTCACTTTGACAATACGAAGAAAGAGATGACAGTGCTTTAATTCTTGATTACATGAATGGTGTATTAATATCCATAAGTTTATATATAACTATATAACCTGCTTTTATATATATAGCTAAACTAAAAACTGCTTTTTCTACAGTTTAAGCCTATCAGCTGTAGGATAATATAAATGAAACAGTTTTATTATTTTCTCTAATGCATCTATATATATATATATATATACAGTACAATGTCCGAGATCTAGAATCATCAGGATTTTGGCAATTCCAGATTTAAAAAATTTCTGGATCTTAAATCATCAGCTTAAATCTTGTAAGATAGCACATTGAAATTATAAAATTAGAAATATGAAGTATTAGTTGTGTATGGAGTAATGAAACATCTATGCTATTATGGGAATCGAAATTTACAAAGAAAGCTCAATGTTTATATGTTTGTCTTGTAAAATATTTCTTTCAATGAAGTTGTTTAAACTGTTTCTTTTTTTGTGCTAATACTTTCTGTTTGATTTTTGTAGACAGACATAATTTCTTGCTCAGTTATAAAGTTCCATTGTTCAAGTACTGTAATTGCCGTGTCAAGAATTCCCACTAAACTGACAGTCAAAATCTTTTCATTCTTTAAAACTTCCTTGTCACTTTCTTCACTTTCAGTAGCAATACTTTCTGGATTTAAAACCATACTGCAGATTTCACTGTCCATTAGTTGACTTCCGTTTGGGATATTACTGTATAAAACTTTGCTTATATCATCTTCATTCATTATTCCTTGTCCGCATTTCTTCACAAATTCCATTAATTAGAAAATTTCGCTTTTATGGTATTCAGAATCTATGCCAATATAAGATTGTGGTCTAATTTTGAAATCTCTCTCTCTCTCTCTGAGCCTGAATGGCACAAAGTCCACTATAGGAAGTAAGTTCAAAATATGCTTTTGGTTTGCAGCTAATGCTGCAGTTCTGGAGTAAGAAACTCTTCAATTAATTGAAAATTCAAACTTTAATTTTGGTAAGATAGCTGTTCTAAAAATAGCCTGCAAAAATAATAAGCTGCCTCAAATTAGAAAGTTAAGAAAGAGTGCAGTTTGCTATGTTAGCTTAAGTTCTTTGGATTCTAATAATTTCTCTCTTCCCTGCTGCTTTGCCAACAAAAGAAAACCAGTGAGCATCAAACCCTGCCCCCAAACAAATATGTCTTGAGGCTTCATATTGTTTAGGCCAGATAGAAAAATGTTACCTAAATCTTCACAACCACTCAAGAGCTTAAAGCATACTCATGGCTTATGTTAATCAGTGTATTGTCATTGGCCATAGTGTGATTCTCTAGCCAGCAGGTGTTTGAAAATTGCAGTACATTTGCTTTTGTTGTTGTTGTTTATGGTACTGTATTTTCTTTTCCTAGATTTCAATAAAAAATTCTGGAGGTCCTGATATTGGGCATCTGGATTTTGGACATTGTACTGCATAATAATGTTATCCAATTATCATGCAAATAAATCTTCAGTATCACCTGTAAATCAAGTTATTAAATTAAATTCAATAATAGATTTTTTAAACTGTTACTAATGTTAGTTATTTCAGAATTTGAATATGAAGAACACAAAAGTGACAAACCAAATAAAACAGTTCCTCATCCTTGTGAAAAAGAATTAGACTTGTATGAAATGTTGTCACGAGATTTTACAGAACCAGTGAAAGGACGTCTCTCTATGTGCCATGCTTCAGGCTGTGATAAGTAAGCAGTTAAATTTAACAAGTGTATTTACTTATTTTAGAAAAGAGAAATATGATGTTATTACATTATATTTTTAAGCATTAGCTTAATTATAGGAACTGAAAAATTAGAATATTTATGATTTTTCCTCATGTATACTTAAATTATTCTTAATTGCATTGTTTAAATTTCTTTGAATGAAACTTAAAGTAAAAATACCTTGGAATCTTTTGCTAAATCTTAAACATTCAAAAATATGCATTTTAATCTTATTGCTAATTTGTAGTTAGTTTGTATTTTTAGAACAAGTCTCAAAAATCAGCAAAAGTGATGTAACATGACATTTATGACAATGATATTTTATGCATTTTTGTATGTAGATTTATGTAGTATGTAGTAGATGTATGTAGATGCATTTTTGTATGTAGATGGTTAGAGAAAAAAGTGATCTATACTAATCAGGTTTTTTAAAAAAAGGGTTTTTAGATAATCCTGTGATTGTATGTTTATATAGGTTGTAATATGTGAGTGCTAAAATTCTATCTTATACCTATTATTATTATTATTTTTAATTTCAGACAATTTATAGTTCAACAAGTACCTTTTACAAATCTTGTTATGCTAGTTGTTTATACTACATGTCCTTGTGAAACAACTTCAGTTAAATTGGAACCAAAAGAAGTACGGCAGAATGAGACCTTGCGTTGTTTGCGAATGGAGCAAAATATATACAGAAAGCGTCCAGAAGCCTGTATTAATTATCATCCAGAAGTATGCACATTTGTAATTATTTTATTTATTGTCACTGTGTTGTAACTATTTACTGTGTTGTAATTATTGTCACTGTGTTGTAACTATTTCAAATTATTAGACTTCTGATTACTTTAATTTTTAATATAATTATTAGAATTAGTGTCTAGTAAGTGAAGAAATAAGTAATAACGAGTATGCAATAATAAAGAAATAAGTAATATGTATATCAAACAAGCTCACTTATAATTTAAATACACATGTTATATTTTCTTAAGCAATTAATGTTGAGAAATAAACGAAAAATAATTGGGGCTTAGTTTATTAATAAGAAATCTGCATTAGAATTCTTGGAAATAATAATGACATTTTAATATTGGGAGTTTTTTACATGCTAATGTCAGCAGTATTCAGTTCTTCAGTTCAGTACCTTGGTATACTGAAATCTTAATTAAAGTTTATGTACTATGGTGTACTGAATTATTCATTATAGTTTGATGTGCTTAATATGGTGGCTTTAATTTTTTTTAAATTTTAACTTTGAAAATACACTTTTTTGTAAAAAAGTCGAAGCACCATGAAGGAGATGGCTGTTTTGGATGAAACCGAATATGTGTATAGTCATATGCAGATAATAAAATGATTAAAAAAATCAAGGTCGTAGTACCTGTTCACGGCTCACGATCACCCATTGAGTGTTCAAATTAGTAGTTGATCGAACATGCATGTTTGAATGCATGCTTGAATTCATCGAGGCAAGGAATGTTAGAGGTTCCTTATCTCATCCTGCGACACATTCTGCCAGGCATTCATCAGTTGTCGCTCCAGATCTGCGATATTTTGTGGTGCCCAAATCTGGCGGCCTACCATGTTCCAGACATACTCAATTGGTGAAAGGTCTAGTGACCTTGCTGGCCAAGGAAGAGTATCAACCACACAGAGACAGTCCAGAGATATGGCATGGCATTATCTTGTTGGAAAATGGCCCCAGGATGATGTGCCATGAAGGGAATTGCAACTGGCCACAGGATGGTATCAACATATTGTTGAGCTGTTAAAGATGTATGGAGGATGACCTGCTGTCATAAGAAATAGCACCCCACATCATCACACCAGGGGTTAAGGCTGTATGCCTTTGTAAAACAAAGGCTGATGGACTGATGGCCTATCTCTCCAGACACGAACACAATGGTCATCTGCTTCAAGAGGGAAGCGGGATTCATCGCTGAACACTATACAATGCCAGTCTGATAGCAGCCATGATGATCGGCTGCAACACCACTCCAGGTGACTCCGCCAATGTTGTGGGGTCAAAAGCAGACATCTTAAGGCCTTTGTGAGCATAAGCCCACCTCAGACAAGTGCCATGAGATGGTGGATGGTACTACGGGAGGTATAGATGCTGTAATGCGTTGAATAGTCGACAATGATACTGTTGGGTGGTTCGGGCCTAGCAAACAATCATCCTATCGTGCCTCACATTTGTGCTGCTTGGCCTTCCAGACCCTTCATTTTGTTGGCAATTTCCTTGTAGCAACTATTGTTGCCAACATCTTTGCACAGCAGTGTCTGTATGCTGCAGGTGGCAGCCTATTGCTTGGTATGACCACCCAGCTTGATGCAACCCTACAATGCAACCATGTTCTAAGTCGTTTATTGTGTGTAAGGTCTTTGATAAATATATCGCATCGTAATAGCATCTTTAGTTGCTTCTTTACTGAATTACAATGGCAGCAACAAAAAAAGGTAAATTTTCTGCCTCTATTACTAGTTTTATACTTTGCGAATTGCACACTAGAAATGCACACTATGATCACAAATCCTGTTCATTTGCCTTTAAACTTTGATCATTTGCATGGTCGATCAAGATGTTTTTGCATACCAAATTTCATCACGATCGCAAAAGAAGTTCTTGGTGCTTCGATTTTTTTGCAAAAGAGTGTAGAGTCATTTTGATAGTTAATGAAGATGAGTGTTTTATATGATAGTATTAGTGGAGGTATGTAAAACTCAAGAATGCCAAATCTGTATAGAAAGTTGCTAAATATTTCATTTACCAGTCAAGGCATTCACTTAATAGAAATTAGCTGAAATACTAACACAGAATAATCATAACTCTTTTCAGTTATATATTAACTTGCAGGAAACGTAAACCTAAATGCATATATTATTATTTTTATTATTCAATCCTAATATGTTTAAATGTTTTTTAAGTAATTTTCATTCTGTAAATTTAAAAAATTAATCTCAAGTTTTCTAGTTTTTAATTTATATCCATCTCTTTTCCAGGAAACAGATATGAACCATGAGTGTGGAGGATCTAGTTATATTAAATCCATTAATATTTGTAATTTAATATTAGGACTTGCAATTTTTTACTACACCCTGAATTGTTTCCATATCTGAAGAAACAAATTTTGTCTTGCCTTGTTAAAGTGAGGCTTCATTGAAAGTACTGCCTGCCTTGCTGACCCAGACATTGTTGTTACATTGTTATATTTTATATGTCTGTGCCAACTAGACTGGACGTACATTATTGGGAATGTTCCGTGAACTGTAAATGACATCTGTTTTTCACATAAGGTCCATGTGTGATACTATTAAAGTGGCTCAGTTTGCCCTGCAAGGACTTATATATAATATATATAAACATCACAGATTATTTAGAGTAATAAAAGTCTGCTTTTGTTGGTAGTTATTTAATATCATATAAAGTTTATGTCTAGAAATTTTAACACATCTTAAACTTTAAATGAATTAAAAAGAATCTCCAAGTCCACATATCTTCTATTAATATAAATAATTATCTATTTTCTTTGTGTATTAAGTAATATAAGAAAAATTAAAAAGCTGCATATCATATTATAATTGTGATAAATGATTGTTATATATAATAGCATTTTAATATAGAAAGCATAAGATTCCCATATTACTTGAAGACACAGAATTTAGTAACTAATGCATATCTCAGTATATATATATATATATATTATATATATATAGTGTTTCTGTATTTTTAATTATTATTGTTAAGCATATCATTCTTCAAGTTAATAAAAGTTTTGAATTGTTTACAAAATAATCTTGCTTGCAAGAACACTCTTAAAATATATTTTGTGAATTGTAAATCAAAAATATCATTTATTTGAAAATATGTGTTTGTATATATGTATGTATGTATATAATGCATTAATTTAGTTATTGTTAATTCATATGTAATAAATTTTTGGCAATATGATATAAAAGAAAAAAATGGTAAAATTGGTAAAGAAATTATTATGTGCTTTTAATACGAATTTGTGAATGATGAATTATATAAATGTAAATAATAAAAAGAAATTACATATAGATAACACTTTTAAAATTATATTTATAAATTTAATATGAATACAGAAATGTATTCTGACTCTAGAGAAAGCATTTTAACTGCTAGCAAAGCATCTTAATGCACATTCGTTTGATTTAGAAAACAGAATTATCTTTTAAATTAGATCCCATTAAATTATTCTGGTGATTTTGATTCATCTCAAATGAGTGATGGATAATCAAAAATTACCTACAAGTTTTCCTTCTTTTTTAAAATATAAAACATTTTTATCAGTATTTATGTAAAATAATTTCTAAGATTCCATTTTTAATCCCAATTTAAATAGTATGTGAAGATGAAATTATCTTATCTAACTTAAAAATTCAGTGTGGACTGAGACATCCAGATATATTCCCTTTAATCATGGTAGAATAATTTGGCATAATGTTATGCTGAAGCTCTCTAAATATGCAGTGCAGATTTGTTTAAACTGTGAAATAAAAGCTGTTATCAAATTCAAATGCTATGTGATTACTAATGTGAGTTTATGTTTGCAAACTTTGGATCTTGTATTATTTTGCTTTTGTTGAACAAAATTACATTAGATCTTCTCTTTGTAATATTTAATTGTACTGTGCTGTAAATCCTTTTCTAAAATTAAATTTTAATATTCTAAAAGCTTTTGTCGGAAACTTGTGAGTATTTGGGTTTCTCATCATTTTAAATGCATCATCATTATGACTTTAAGATACATTATTTTTCCGATGACTTCAAAATTTTAAGATTCTTTTAGAGGCCATAATCCATATTCATGTTATTTCATATGCACCATTATCTATTTTTCTGGACAGAAATATACCTGTTGTGATATCGGCATAGTCTCGGCAAAATGTGATAAATGCCTTTATATTTTTTATTTTGTAATTATTTTATTACATAGAAAACATAATCATTAATAAAATATCAAGCAATAAGCAAAGTACACATAAGTATAAGCCAAACAGTGAGAATCTTGTGGAACTTTCATTTACTCTGAATAATCTGTGATTTCAGTGGTGTTAGTGACTTTAAATACAAGATTTGTTGTATGCAAGCTATGGTGCAAGATCTCAATATATCACTTTTGTATGCTCATTGGCTTGTACATCCATTCAAGCTTGAACAAAATGTTTGTATATTTCATCTACTCTTGCCCTCCAAGCTTCTTCCTTAATCATATTGCGTAACTTTTCCTTTTATCAAAATACTGCATCACAAAGCATAATCTCTTCCTTGTTAATTTTAATAGGGTTGCCAACTGTTCTGCAGTAATATTACAGTGGCTTTTCTTACACTAAAATGTAATATTTGCGTTATTTTGGAAAATGCATTATTATTATTTTTTAATAACTTTGAGTTGTATGTTAGATATATACATTGAATTTCAATTTCAGTTTTATAGCTACATTCAAATGAGTATGGCTATGAACACGGCAATTCTAGTCATTTCTATAGGCTTGAAAAAAACTACAAATTTACTTAACACCAGAGTCGTAGCTAGGGTTTTTAGCGCCCATCGACAACTGAAGACTTCGTGCCCCTACTGCTTGCCAAGGATGGAAAACATTTAATTCTAAAATTTCGTAATATCAAATTGGTGCCCCTTGGATGCTGCGCCCGGGGACAGATGTCCCCCTTGCCCCCCTCTAGCTACGCCCCTGCTTAACACCCTCTGTTTTAATGCAGTTTTTCTGCTGGAAACTTTTCTTGGTTTAAAATAACAAGATCAATTCACTTTTCATGTGTAGTGTATTTTCATCTGTAGTATATATATTAATTAGCAAAATATAAAATTTTTATTATTTTTTTTCCTTTTAAAAAAGTATTAAATTGACCAAAAAGTAAATGTTTTTTTACAAAATCAATTTTATATTTTAATGTGTATGAAAGAATTGCAAAAATAAAACTAAATGTCTTATATCAATCAGTAAGTTTGAAAAAGTATCCATTTAATTAGATATAAGAATTTTTGCCATCGTATACATTGTAAAAGGAAAAAGATGAGAAATGTTGGAAAAAGGGGAAATATTAAGGTGTATACAGAGAGGTTTTACATTTAATCATTTAAAGTTTTTGAATTTAAAATTTAAACCTAGAAAGTAATGTAATATTAAATCAATTTAATGGGTAATCATTGATTTACTACAGCAGATAATATAGATATCAAAATATTATTTAACTGAGAAAGTAAACAGCTAAAAAGGTTGCTACTTCTTGAACATCCTATTGATTGCATTAATTAAGTGTTACTTGTTTATTTTCTATGAAACAGAATCACTCAAATACTTGCCCATATGATTGAATATGAATAGTTTGATTAGTTTATGAATAGTTTGATTAGAATTGACTAGTTTGATCTATTATATCACAGGTTGGCTACCCTAATTATTTTCTTGATAGAGAATGGGGCTTGAAATCCTACACTGTGAAAATGATACATATTTTTGAATATACAGAATATTACAGAAAGGTATTGTTTAAAATACATACAGTGGAATATACATTGTGACCAGAAGGTAGACATATTTATTATTTTCACTAAGACCAGCTCCAAGTTAGCCAACACAGTTCACTAAGTGTTGGCTAAGTTTGCAGCACAAAACTTCTACCAATTCCTAAAAACAATTCATGATGACTGTTTGCTCTACTCCTGCATTTGTTGATATCTCCTCAAGAATTAATGCCATGGTTCTATTATACTCACAATGAACTATCTTAAGAATGTCTGGATGTTAATAGGACTTCAAATAGAAGAGAAAATGTTTATTATTTAGGAAGTTTTCATTGCTGGAATTGCTACCTTGAAAATATTCGGTACTGTTCTGTTATCAAAACCAGATCCAGAAATGTATGTATGTGTGCTTGTATGAATGAATGTATATGTGTAAGCATGAATGTATGTGTGTATACATATACACATATGCATACATTCATACATTTATGAATCCGATCCTGATAACAGAATACTACCAAATATTCTTTGTTTCAATCAGACATTATAGATAGCTGTGGATAAATAGTTTTCTACTTGAGATGATGTTCAGAATGTTTTCAGTGTAGTTCAGTAAGGCCATCTAGTAGTCTAGTTAGTTGTGTGGCTTCTTATTATGGGGGAATTCAACAAATGCAATAGAACTGTGAGTGGTAATGATGCCTTTTTGGGGAGGATTAACAGAACTGTGTTATATTAAATTTGAAGGTCTTCCTTGAAGTAGCTATATGTGAAAATGTGGATTTATATGAAACATGTCATGCATATTAGCTGGCTGTATACGTTCCATTAATTATTTTAATACAAACTTTCTTTCCAATATCTTGCATATCAAATATGTTATATGCCATTTTCATTCAGTGTAAGGTATTTCATGCATCACTTTATCTGTTCTCTTTCAAAAACATTTGGAGATGTAAATATACTAAGTACAAGAATTTATTTCTCTTTTCTTAAAGTGAATATTCAATTGTTCTGTTTTCTTTTTTGAAGTTTAATAGTTTCATATAAAAATGTTTTATTTCAAAATATTGAATTATGAAAACAATTCAGTTTCATTGAAGATTTTTCCATGACATCATGTTTTTTACAATGTTAGATATAGCTTCATAAGATCTATTTAAATAATCAAAAAATAAATTTGTATTGTTTTTTAACTGAGTATGTGTGTAATCCATTCACATATTTGTTATGCGTACAATTTTCAATGTTTTCCTTTTATAAAGGCATAATTCTTGTCTCATTTATACTATTAATTATGCATTTTTATGCAATATATATTTGTCATGATATGTGGAAGTGTCTCAAATAATTTAGAGCCTACTTGTGTTACTTTTAACTGTATTTAATTTTGAAAGTCTAGTCGCATAACCCATTCTAGTTTGTTCTACAATAACGCATATTCTAGTTGTATGGAAAATAATCATTTGTAATTTTGTGAGATTATTGTAGTTTTAATACAGTTTTATGTATTTCTATCTTCTATAAATAAGTCTAGAACACAAATATCAGTATTTTCTATTACAGCTGAGTAAATTGTTTATAGGAAAATAAATCTTTTAAAGCAAAAGAAGAAAAAATATGGATTTTTCTTTAAATGTGTTGATGCTGTACTCAGAGTATTTTGTTATTATCGTATATTATTTACAAAACTGGCATGTTATCTACCAAAACTTGTGTGTTACTTTCCCATAGGGAACACCATCTCAAATAAGCTTCAGTGCCAAACATCTAAACATTGCTAAACCTGGCTGTTAATCAAAAGAAAAAGTTATTAAATGCATTACCAATTACATTGGCACATTTTTAGATGGTAATGCTGATGAGAAAGTAACATTTGTTTTCATTATAGAATTATAACTTATTAATGTGTAATAACTGCTTTTAACCCTGTTTGTTTTATATGCTATTTAGTGAAATTTTAAAATATCGTAATGTATGTGCTGCTTAAATGTCTCTTCAAATTCTCTTTATATGGTAAAACAAAGGTACTGCATAGCACACACATATCTTTTCTTTGTATTTTATCTATTCATGAAATATTTTTCTTTATCTTTTTCTTACATAGTCTAGTTTTATCAAAGTAGCAAATTTTGAATAAAATATCCTTTTTAGAATATTTTAATATCTATAGACAACTACTTATTCTAAGAAAATTTTCTTTAAGTTAACAATCATAAAAATTATATTAAAGCATATTTGTACAGGGGGAAGGGGATGTTGATAATACAGAATTTTATATTGGGCATAGGATTCAAATATTATATCTACTCATATTGCAGAAATATGAGTATGTATAGATTTGTTTTTATGTATGTATGTTTAAGCACTTTTCAAAGAATTCAAAATTCTTTATCAGTCTTCCAGTAGCTCTAATGAAAATTAGGTATTTCTCTTAGAGGCAACAAAAAATACCTGTTAAGAGCTGAATAACTACATTTTTATTGCTAACTAATTACTGAAAGCTACTGTATTATGAGAGAAAATATGAGAGTATACATGAATTACATTATTTAAATATAATTGTGATTGATAGATATTTAACCTTTCTGTACAAGAGTATTTTCATTTTGTAATCAGTCAGATTTGGAGCTTAGCAAAACTGCAATATTGCTTTTCAAATTTGCTGAAATATACATAAAAATGCACAATTTTGTATTAAAACATATCATAAATACTGGTAATGAATTAATGCACCATATCATTTATATTATACACTTTGTTTGAGGTTTTTCGTGTTTTATATAGAGTAATTTTACTTTCAATTTCTTATGCATTATAATTACTTTAATGCATAAAATGTCAAAATTGATTGATATAAAATATGATATCTAATGTTTCTGTGTTTAATTTTTTGCAGTTGACAAACTGGGACTGGTGAATGTTAAAATTGTAAAGGAATACCAAATATTTAATCAAACTAATCACTAATGCTCAAGCGATAAAAATTAATGCTAAATACATTGATATGAGGAAAACATTTTACATACAATTACATGTAACAAACTTCTGCTTATGACATGTGGTCATTAAATAATATGACTTGGATGCAAAAATATGAGTTATTATTACAGTTTTATAATTTTGTGGTTATTTCCTTCGTTGAGCTGTTTTCCTTTTATCTGCATACTGTTACATGCATATTTTCCATTGTTGAAAACAGTCCTGTAGTTCATGTGTCAACTCTTTCATCAGCTATTGTGTTCTTTCCTCTACATCATCTCTGTCTAAAAATGAATCCCCTTGTATGAGGATTTTGGTTTAGGAAATGGATACAAGTCACACAATACTAATCCAGTAAGGTTGGTTTCCAGCATTGGGATATGCAATGCTTTACAAGCAGAGTACGACAAATTGGACATTTTTGTGTTATGTGTAGAATCCACACATTGTTCTTTCATAACTGAAAACTCTGTTTTCTCATCTATTTATTTTTTAAATTTAACTAGAATTTAACGTTGCTAATGTTGACAGGTCTAAATCATCATAAGTCATGGCTATCTACAGCTGCCCATTCAGTTATGACCACACTATTAATATCAAAGGAAACGATTAGCATTGTCTTCATTTTCTCATTTTTTATGATCAAAGTTTTCCATTATATTGACTGCTTTCTTGTTTCACATTTATAAGTGAAGATTCCATATCTTATCACATATGCTGATCTTTCCAAGCAAGTCTGATTTCACTGTGAGTTGTTCAATGATGTGGATAAACTTGAATCTTTTTACCATATAATTAGGTTTGAGGAAAAACCTTTTGGTGTAGACTTTTCTCATATTTAGTTGTTTGTATTATCTGTTTATCAATGAACAAGCATCACATCAGTTACTATCTAAAATGCTTAACTGGTGATCTTATCTAGCATTTAGTTTAAAGGGAAATGAAATGTATGCCTGATTCAGATCTAAAACTTTTTGATATTAACTAGCATTCTTTGATGAACCAATAAATTAATCTGAATAATAATATTGGTATAATATGCACACTAGAGACACATTTTATCATCTATTCCTGCCCCCCCCAACTTTCTAGACAGAGGCAACATTTTTTTTATTATTATTTGATTACAGCCACCCACACATTGGTCTCTGCCAAATTAAGAGATGCCAGATGGGTCACATTTAAGGGAAAGTGGCTCAGTTCCTTGTTACACACGGGAAAACTGTGAAGAAACCCATGCAGTGCACAGAACTACCAGTGTTGAGTTACTTTACTGCTCAGCCATTGGTGGGCAATAATTGGTGATCATTATGAATCATTTTGTTGATTTCTTGAATCTTTGCTCAGTTTTTTTCATGATATGTTACTCAATCCTTTGCCACCTGGCCATTCCTCAGCAGATCACTTATTAAAATATTTACACATTTTTGGTATTACCAGTACACAGCTCCTGATACGATTTTGAATACTTAACTCAGAGAGTTCTTCATTTTTCACAAGGGGTTTCAGATTAAGGTGACATTCATTTTTTCACTCTAGGTATAATCCCTGAGAATCAATACTGTACCTGCTTCTTGTAGCATTAAGGAACTCGATGCACATGTGCTATTGTGTGTGTGTACTACAGTGGGTGCTATGTGCTATTGTATACTGCAGTGGGGTGATGATTATACCTGTAATGTTCTATTCCATTTCACAATGTCCTGCATACATTGGCACGCACATATATGTGTATGTAGCTATATATAAAATTTTATGATACTTATGTATCATATAACAAAGTGTCATTATAACAAATATTATCATCATTATAACAAAGTGTCTCAATTTTTGTTCAAAATGTCAGTTTACAAATTTTGATTTGAAAATCATCACAACAGCTTAAATTTTAAAATATTTTATTTTCTGAACAGATTTATTACTTTTAGGAAATTGATATAATGTAACCCACTATTATAGACATCCATGTTTTCCTGTGTAAGAATGTTTTATATGTATATATTATTCTAAATTTTTTAAGGAATCTTTTTCTTTAGAAAAGGCTATGAATTTTTGCTGTTATAAATAAAGGTGTGTGATGTATTTCCAATCTGAGTTACGTTTAGCAAAGTTTTTCAAAACCTTTGTTTGTGGATTTGAAATATCTTCACTAGCTTCTCTGAAATAATGAAGAGCATTCTCTGCAGTTTCTTAGTTTTAAAAGAAATAAATTAAGTGAAACATTTAACTAGTTGAAAAATATGCATAATTTTTCTTTAATTAAAATAACAAAGAATTTTAGATGTATTTTATTGTTGTGTATATGGAAAAATGTTACCTCTATCTTGAAAGTTTGAGGACAGATGATAAAGTATATCTCCAGTGTGCTTGTAAACCAATAGTATTCGGATTTATTTATTGATTCACCATAGATTCTTTTATGCAATAAAGAATGTTATTTAATACTAAAAGATTTTAGATCTGAATCAGGCTTTTATTTCATTTCTCTTTAAACTATAAATAAATAGCCTTTTAAGTGATCTATTTCAAAATATGTTGGAAAGAATTTTTTGGTGGAGGGGGGGCTGTTATATGGTATGTTTGTAAGTATTTTTTTTATAAATTATTATACATGTAATATATTTCTGACCTTTTTTCCTGATATCTCATCTGCCTTTACTTGTGTAATTATTCCTTGATTAATTTCTTGTTGCCTCTTATACATACTAAAAAGAAACTTTGTCATTCATTATCATTATTCAGAAACAAATTTGAGAGTATCTCCATTTCATTTCAAGTTTTTTCTTTTTAAGATTTCATTATTTTAATATAAGTCTCAAAAGTAGTACTTTATTTTATGTGTTTATTTTATGCTTCACTATGGTTCTCATGTGTAAGTTTTACAACTGCATTATAATGCCTCGTTTTTCTTCATTTAAGTAACTTTTATTCTGACTACCCCAGGTATTAAAATATTATTATTGAAATCTTTCAAAATCTTATTCTAAAAGAAAATAACTATTTCACTTCTGCATATCTAGTTGAAAGTTAAAAGTACATTTTAAACTGCCATTCAATTTGTAGTGTTTTTTCTCTTTATTTCGTTTACATATTTCAAGTCTATAAAAATATGAAATTCAAATCTGAATATTTTTCAAGAAAATTTGAATTTCTGTATTTAAGGTATTCTTATTAAAACTTATGTATTTTTGTTATATACATAATGTTGAATTCTGTAATATATTGAGTAAAGATATATTTATAAAGTTAAAATATTCACCAGTCCTGGGTTGGTTGTGTTTTGGAGATAATAAAAGGTTTTATTGGAATTGTAAATATGTTATTCTTATACAAAGTATAACTTAAAATTGCGCTTCTGAATTATAATTTCTGAAATTTGAAAAACATTGGTGCTTGAAATTTAGCATTAAACAATTTGTATCTTTGTATGTGTCCAATGCAAGTACAGTTTTCTATGGACTTTTTCCCTTAAATGCATAAGTTTTGTGTTTTTTCTAGTAATGCAATGGAATTGTTGGATAATGCAATTGTAATAAATAATTGGTTTGTTACAAAATGATTTAGAACATGAAATGATTTTTACCATATCAAAATATTTGATAATTGGTGTAGATAAAATTATATAAAATTAAAAAATGTCTTTGTATCTGGGACTATTTATCATCAATGATATCTCTTTTGACATTCTCATGTATTTTAGATTGAGTTGAATACTAATAGAGAAATGCACTTGCAAAAATAGTAAGAACTTTTAATTTGTACTTAAGTTTGCAGAGGTATTTAATTGTTTACGTAGTTTTTTAATACATAGTTTATTTAATTCTACGAATCAGAGGATTTTTTTTAACTGTTTTAACCTTTAGGTGGTAAAATATATTAAAATGCATTAAGAAGAACGATAAATATAATAGTATACTGCATTAAAGTATGTTGTGTGTACAGAAGGAGGACAATAATATGGAAACATCTGGTAAAAGAAGGAAGTTTATTATTTTAAAATAGGCATTTTTAGATCTTTACGATCCTCCTTTATATGCGATCGTAATGTGTGCTGTCCTCATTGCACAGTACTTATTTTCTCTGTCTCATCTCATATTATAGTTCATTCATATGCTTTTTCATGAAATGAAATCCGTTAAACAACAATGAAGAGGGAGAGAGAATTAGAGGATTCTACCTTCTGCCTCTGCTGTTATGAAGCCAGTTGGGAGGGGGGAGGGGTAGAATTACCTTGAAGTGCCTATTCTAAAGTAACAATTATAATAGGGTATAGGAATGCTTTTCATTTTCAGTAGTGCCTAAGTTCACCTTGTGATGAACAAACACGTAATCATTCTACAAAGTTCTAGGAAATAAATTTGTATAAAATGGGAATGTTAAAGAAAACAGTATTCTATTTCTTAAATTTACGGTATCTTTTAAATCTATACAATGCTTGGTACATGCATACATTTGTTTAACTCCTGCACAGAGCTCATATTTTGGAATACTGTTTATGCTTCCCTTGTTACCATTTTCTGATTTTCTACATTGCTATTGAAATAATGACCTTCAAGGTAAGACTTTATGGAAGAAAATAGTGTGCGAGTGCCAGACCTAGTTTAGAACTGACTGAGAAGGTGATATTTGCCTTTGCTGGAAACTTAAGTCTTGGATTGTGATAATGAGAGGGCATTTTTTTTTTTTTTTTTTTTTTTTTTTTTCCCCTCCTGAAAAAGTTGTTCAAGTTTCTCTAAAGCCTTTAAAAGCGGACCGTGTATTCAAAATCCTGTTCTTCAAATCTCACCATAAGAGTTCTGTAATACTGTTTTGGCTAAAGAGAGGAAGATGGGAAACCTTATTAAACTGCTCAGCAAATCACTATTGAATGCAGTGCCGTAGCAAGCATAACTGGCGCCCGGAGCAAAATACCTTTTTCGCCCCCCCCACACACAAAAAAACTTTCAGTATATAATGTATAGAATATATTCGTAATAAGAAACTAATGCAAATAATAATAAAATGCTAAATCTGCCATAAAATACTCAAAAATATAATAAGAATAGTCACTACCTAACTACACTAGCCTTGGATTCAGAAATGCATCTGTGTTGGCGAAAAAAATCAGACATACGATGATCTAGAATTAGTTAAAAAGGTGTTATTTATTTTACATATAAGTGTTTTTAAAAAGTACAATTTTTAAACAATTATAAGTTTATGATAAATAGATATGTGGCAACTTGCTACTACAACTCAGCTCTGCCAGTCTGGTAACCCTTAGCAACCAGAAACAAAATAATATTTATTCTATTCGATTGTTATAATTATTGAATGATCTGTCTCAAAAAAAATGTACTACCATAATTGGTGAGCCGTATTTATTAAGAATAGCAACTTTCAATGTTGCACGAATATGGAGTTTATATATCAAAATTCTGAGTACCAGTAAGTTATCCAGTGTGATGAGATGCAAGTAAGACATTTCACCTTTGATCTCAAGCGTTGTGCAGCATTCCGGTGAGTCAACATATTTCTGTCATAATTTCAGCGGATATATGTATCGTCTGCTGCATTTGAGCCGCCAATTTCTCTGATTTCAAGTACCAAGAAACTGTGTCACTATATGCATATTGATTATTTTTCTATACATATTATTACTGTGCATATTTGATTGATCTAAAGTGGTTAACAACGATGCTGCTTCGCAATGAGATACATTCCGCAAGAGAAGAAGAAGAAGGATGACTTTGTTGTTTACATTAGCTATACATAAGTCATGTGATGTTTGAAGTCATCTGCATTGTTTTTTTACATTAGCTATGCATAAGTCACGTGATCTCTGGTGTCATCGAAATGTATCTAATTTGCGGGAGTGGCAGTTAAGCCACCGCCTTTTTATCGCCGAGACCCATCGTTATGGTTCATTCAATTGGATGTGCAGTTTAAATTGAGTCACATGACTGCCGACGAAACTCAATTTTATACAGCGATCGCCGCGTTAGAATCAGAGGTACTGCAATCAGCTCGTAAAATAATTTTGAATCGGTGCTACTTTGGTAGACGGTTGCACGGATTTTGGCGAGTAATACAACTTATGGTAAACCCATTGCCGAATAAGTTATTTATGGTAACCGATACTTTGTTGTCATTTCATTAAAAAAATAATGCGTTTTATTATGCATAACTTCCGTATTTTAAATATTATTTATGGCTTCTAAATATTAAAAATCAATTTAATTTTACATTTTTATTTGAAATAAAAATTTTGTTGTTTATAATATTTTATATAATTTTATGTTGTGGATGATGTAATCATGACGTCACCTTACTTAAAAGTAATTGGTTTTATTAATATCTATAAATTTAATCTAATGTTTTAAACATTATTTATGGCTGTTAAATATTAAAATAAATTTAATTTTGCATTTGTTTTAAAATGATGTTTATTATGAATGATTATTTAAATAATTTTAATTCTATGCGTGATTGTAATCAGCTCCCTGATGGTTACTGAATATTTGTGCATTACCGCGCCATTTTAAAATTATTATTCATCTCTTCGAATTCCTCGGATTTCAAATGGAATGGATATGACTCCGTTTCGAAAGACGAATGTTGTTATTGGTAAGTACCAAGAATTAAAAAAATAATGGTAAATAATTGTCCTTTAAGAATAAATAAATAATGTCCTTCGGAATAAAAAAATTGTCCTTTGAGACCTTATTTTGGCCAACCTGAATCTTTCCTTTAATCAAAGATTTATTTATAAATTTTTAATAGCGTCAGAGGAAACTTATTTTGAATTTTTGGAGGAAACCTCGCTAATTGCTTCTTCAATGAAATGCGAGATATTTGGATAACAGATGAAGATGGTTAAAAGATCCGATTCAATTATGATTTCGATTTTTTTTTTTTTTTTTTTTTTTTTTTTTTTTTGTGGTACTTATCAGTAAACAAGAGGTTAAATTACTCAAAAAAATGTAAGTACACATTTTTCTTTTATTTTATAATTGTATACTTCAATTTTTGTTAAAAAAATTAATACACTTTTTTCAAAAATTGCTGAGATAACTATTGTCACATATGTTTTAATGTTAATTATATTTTATATAAGTTATTTTAAAGTATTTGAATTTAATAATATTCTAATTCTTTTAAATGTTGGTAGGATGGCTTTTAATTCGATATTCAATTTCAGTAATATTTTAATCTAATTAAACGTTGGCACAATGTTTTTATAACAGTGTTTTTATTCTCTTTTTTGCTATATGAAAGTAATAATAGCCTTGCTTTAGTACATTATACTCATAGTAAATGTATTTATTTACACCTGCCTGCCATCTTAAAAAAAAGACATTTTCAACAAAAAATTAATCCATTACTTTTAACGATTTTTTTTTTTTTTTTTTTAAAGTTTTGAATACTTTACTATGCGTAAAAACAGCGTTTTTCAAGATGGCTGACGATTGTAAAAATCGCGCCAACAATTGCGCCAACGTAAATCGCAAAAAATCCGTGTAACCGTCTACCAAAGTAGCACCTTTGAATCCACCGGCGACGAACAAATACAAATCTTAAAAAAAAAAAAATTAATTTCTGTTTATGAAGAATCCAAGACAGTTAAAATCAAGCAGCTGTTGCACGATTTACAGTTGGGTGATATAAGGCCTTCTCAATTGCTGTCTAAAATGTCAGACTTAGCCGCCGGTAACCTAACGGATAACATTCTTAAAACATTATGAATGAATATATCCCATCTAACATACAAACCATTTTACCAGTTGCGAGCCACTTAAAAATGTTCTCGAAATCGCTGATAAAATTCACGAGCTAGCCATTTCTGCGCAAAATACACGCAGTGCAGGCTCCTGGTCCAGGTATTGTGGCGTTACAGGCTCAAATTGATGATATCTGTCCAAACAGGTTGCTCAGTTTGTGGCCATCCAAGCTGAACCGTTTCAGCGCAACCGCTCCACATCACGTGATCGAAATACACGTCGTAGCCCACTGAGGAAACGTTGCGAAAGCCCTCCTCCGAGTATTTGTTTTTTACCACCACAAATTTGGAAACAAGGCAAACAAATGCGACCCACCGTGTGTCGTTATAACGACCAGGGAAACGAGAAGGGCCGTTGCTCGAAGTCGTGAATGACAGCGGCCGGAATTTTGCACGCCTTTTCGTCATCGAGGAGAATTCGAGCTTAAGGTTTCTTGTAGGCACCGGGGCTGATGTTTCTGTCGTTCCACCACATTTTCACGAACAAAAGCGCCTTACCAAGTTACAACTTTATTTAGCAAATGGAACTCCTATTAAAACTTTTAGTGAACGCCCGATATCTGTTGAATTAGGATTGCGCCGCAACTTCCAGTGGCCATTCATTATTACTACTGTCCTATTATTGGCGCTGACTTTTTACAAAAATTTTCTTTGCTTGTAGATCTTAAGAATCGCCGTTTCATAGATTCCACAACCAACTTAAATTATCCGGGAGTAATTCGCTACAGTCAAGATTTGAGCATTAAACTAATTTTGAGTAAGTCCCCATGGCATCAACTTCTCAGAGAATTTCCTACAATCACGCGCCCAGTTATGGGTATTTCCGAACCCAAGCACGATGTACTACATTATATTGACCTCTATTTGTCGCTAAACCAAGACGCTTA